AGGAGAGCGGCCCCACGACCCGTTTCCGGAGCCGATACGAAATCCAGTCCGTAGAAAAATTCGAAGGGAGACTACGACGCCTGAGCTTCCCTTAATTAATGGGCCCGCCCATTTTAAAACAGCGGTCTCGCTAATTATTATTGGATTTTTACTTAATAATTATTTTTTTTGGTTCATTAAAGAGTAATTATATTGTTAAAAAAGTAACTGCACCGCCCCGAACGGAACACGTGGAAGCCGCGTGCTGTTTTATTGGGCCAGGAAACTTCATTTTGGCCCTAGAATATCAAAGCCCGGCTAGATCAAATGGGCAAATTGTTTGGCTTTTATTGGGCCTCGGTTGGGCATCTTGTATATATTGGATTAAGCAGTGGAACGAAGTGGGCCTATTTTTGTCACATGGACAATTTTTTTGGGCCTATGTAATGGCCCTATGGGCCAGGCACACATGGACGTGCCTATATCGCGAGGGGTGTCAATGGACTATGGGCCCGTTAAATGGGCCATCATTCCCGATTAACCCATACCTAAAAATGGGTTTCAAATGGGCTTACCATTACAAAAAATCCCTCTCTGGGCCCAGCTATAATGGGCCAGACTTCATCAGAGTGGGGCAGGCCCGTTGACTGTCGTGTTCATCGCCGTCTTCTAAAAGCTGAAAAGAATCTATCCAGCCCGGCTGAAAAGAATATCCCTCCGGAGTTCGTCGACTTGTGATCATATCCATCCCTTCCAGGAAGAATCTGGGGGGATGCATCTTAGCTTATCATGTCCTGTCAAAGGGGAAATGGCGGCCTGGTTTCCACCGTCCAAGGCGGGTCAACCTACGCCTGTGCGGGGACACGAGTACCACATACCGACACTCGTGCCTGAGATCTTTTTTCTTCTTTTTTTTTTCTAAACGATGGGTTTTACGCACGTGGAAAAATGTGATTATCAGGTCCGTCCACCTGTCCGCTTTTTCGTGGTTGGGCAGTGCATGTGGGACCCACATATCTATAGTCAACAAACCGTGTCCCCTCAAAAAGACCGCACTTTTAAGGATGGAAAACCCCCCCCATCTGTCCATTGCACTCTCTCTCTCTCTCTCTCTCGCTCTAGTGTCCAAGATGGTCCTCTTTCTCTCTCTCATTTTCACTCTATCGACTGCCCGATATTCTCTCTTTCTATGTATAATCCCTGTCTCCCTCTCTAAAATCCCTGATAATAACAGGAAAAGGCGGGGGGCACTGTCACGAGTTTAAGTGTAGTATCCGAGATATCATAAACCTTAAAGATCCGTGTTGATGGGAAATGACGGCGGTGGGCTACTGGGCTGAGGTCATCAGATACAAAAGTCTACGCACGAGGGTTGACCTTGGTGCCCACGGTGGAGTCCAGGGTGTTGGAGAGGGATTTAATCGTTGTTTTTTAGACGGCGGTGACTAATTCCCACTTCATGATTTGTTTTCTCTCGAAAAAAATGCAGACTTAATATTTGAAATAAGCCAATAAAAACCCACCTCTCTCTCTCTCTCTCTCTCTCTCTCTCTCTCTCTCTCTCTCTCTCTCTCTCTCTCTCTCTCTCTCTCTCTCTCTCTATCTATCTATCTATCTATCTATCTATCTCTATCTCTCTCTCTCTATCTATCTATCTATCTCTATCTCTCTCTAAAGTAGGGCATTTCAAGCCTACGCCCATGGGCTCAAGCGGGGGATGGTATGATGAGGGTCTAGCCAGGTCCATTACACCACCAAGTTTAACGTAAAGAATAGGAATAGAAAGGGGAGTAATTCCCAGGGAAATTTTAATAAGAAAAAGTCCACTAACGACTCTAAGTCTCCAAGCCCTAATTTTCAATGACATTTTGATGACTCTAAAGGAAATAGACATATGTAGTCGCTGGTCTGTCTGTCTCTCTCTCTCTAGCTTATCCCATTCATTTCCCGATGACAGGCTTGAGATGTGTTTCTTCAACGCTGCTTCTCTCAGCTTGGGTTCCCTTTTTGGATGCCAAATTGATAGTTTTGGAAATCCCACGTGCTTAATAAAAACGAACTAGATGACTCTCGGAGAAAGCAGAGAGAGGAGAGAGAGGAGGGACACAGAGAGGAAGCTCGGGCCAGACTCGGAGAACGGTCAACAAGGTATCTCAATCCTTCCTTCTAACCACCATGAATGGTGGGGAAGCCAATGCCAGAAAAAATTCTACAGATAGGTAACTGTGCATCGAGGGGGAGGAGAGGGAGACAGGCGCTTATTCACTCATAGACCATCACATATTAGTAGTATTCTAAGTTGGAGGGCGGTAGCGGCAGCAGCGGCGGAGGAGGCTTATGATGTGGCAATGCAGCAGTGCTCCCAGATGAAGAGAGGGCGGCGGTGCTCGCTGCACCTCCTCATCTGGTGCAGCAGGTCCTGCCTGTTGATCACCCTCTTGGACGTGAAGAAGAGCTTCTCCGGCGATGGGTAGCGCTGAGCCGACTTTGCGGCGCCGCCGCCGCCGCCGCCGCCGCCGCGCCAGTAGCGCTCGTCGGTGCTGCGGGAGGAGGAGGCGGCCGCCGCCGCCGCTACCACGGCGGTGGCGGTGGTGGTGGTGTTGTTATTGTGCGGCGCTGACTGCTGAGGTGGAAGCGCCGCCACCTCTCTCTTTTCGATCCATGGGTGCCCGTCGGTGGATGGCACGCTGACGAACTTGTTGATCACCACCGACGACCGCTGCACCTTCAGGCCGCCGCTCTGCGGCTGCGGCGAACTGCTCACCTTCACCTCCACCACAATCCCGCGGTCAACCACCTCCACTTCTTCCTCTTCCTCTTCTTCCTCTTCTTCCTCTTCTTCCTGTTCTTCCTCTTCTTCTTCTTCTTCCTCCTCCTCCTCCATTGGATCTTCAAGTACTAGTTCGTCTTCATCTTCCTCTGTTCCCTGGTTAAGGTTCTTCACGGGTTTCTCCTCTCTCTCAGGGTAGATCTCGCGGAAGGAAGTCTCGACGAAGGAGAGGAGGAGCCGGCCATGGTGGCGCTCGGCGTGGAGATAGTTCTGGGAGGGCACGGAAACGGCCTCCACCACCAGACGGCCGCCGCAGCGGTGCGGCCTCATGCTTAGACATTGCCCGTCGCGGCTGGACAGAGATGGCAGCGGCGGCGGGAAGGATCTCGCCGGCGACCGCCTTCCTATCGAGCAGTGATAGTTCACCTCCGCCAGTTCTTTCCTCCTCCGCGGCGGCGGCGGCGGCTCTGCTTCGTCCTCTTCCTGCTCCACTTCATGGGCTTGATGCTTCTCCTCCCCATCGCCAGCTCTCCACGGGAGGAAGTCTCCCATATCGTCGGAGCCTGTCTCAGATCCGAGGCTCTCGGTGCAGATTTCCAAGCTCTTCTGGCTCAGGAAGCTCGCCGACCGCTTCATCAGTGGGTGGACATACGGCGGTGCAGCGGCGACGCTTTTGGAGGACAGGAGAGAGGCCCAGATGTCGAGGTGCCCGTCTATCTTCTCGGCCGCCTCCTTCGTCACAGCGGCCGCCTGCTCGGCGAGCCACGCCTCCATCCCCAGCGGCGCCGCCATGGCCGCCGCGGCGCTCCTCGCTCTCCCTCCCTCTCCGTCGAGGCCGAAGGAGATGGGCATCGGGCGGTTCTCGCACAGGGCCGTCGACATGTTCAGGGCGACAGCTGTAGATGGAGATAGCGGTGAGAACCCTGCAAAAACTCCTACGCTGGTTTCATTGTTGTCTACAGCTACCAGAGCGGAAAATTTACCTCGATATTAGATCCCACGATGCCCGGAGAGAGGCGGAGGAGGGCGTTGGCGGTGGCTCTGCCGCGCTTCTTCTTCTCCTTCCGCTCTCGGAGGAATAGCTGCTGATGAGGAGAGAAGCCGGAGGGGAGTGGTATTTATAGCAGGAGACCTGGCACCCTCCTTCCTGCTCTCTCTCTCTCTCTCTCTCTTTCTCTCTCTTTCCCTTGGGAACCTCCGTCTCCCTCATGACCGGGGGGGGGGGCCTCCTCCACCGCACCGCACCGTGTTGCTTTCTCTCTCTTTCTCTGTCCCCATATTCTCCTATCGCCGTTTCGCTCTCTATCTCTATTTTTCCATCTCCATCTCTCCCGGATTGGTTGTCGTATTTATCGTCCATGCAGGTTATTCCTCACCCCATTCCTTCAAGAAACGGGGGCCTCGGGAAAAAGGCGCGGCTTCAGGCTGAAGCCGACCGCCTCCTCAGGGAATCTTCGTCTCCGTGGCTGAGCAAGAAGCGAGAGAGAGAGAGAGAGAGAAGAAGAGGGGGGGGAGGGGTCGCTCTCGGCTTTTGGGCAATGGCTGGCTGGAGTGGGGAGCCTACTACGGGGTAGCTCAGATTCTATCCTCCCCGATCTCCGCCATTAAAACGCTCGAGGATGGCGGTGGTGTGCTGGTGGGAGGAAAAGGAGATGATGTAATGGGCGGTGAAGAGAGAGAGAGAGAGAGAGAGAGAATGACAGAGAGTGAGAACTCGTCGACAGGAATAAGCTTGCTGGTGGACAAGACCAGCCGGAGGAAGAAAAAGGGCAAAGCGCTGATGAACTAAAAAAGCATTGGGTTCTTCTCCTCTCTCTCTCTCCCTCTCTCCTCTTCCCCTACAGACAATGGGAGCTGCACTAGGACTCCCCATCCTCCCACTTGCTCCTACGCCCGCCCCTCCCCATCTCCCACCCTGTTCCTCTGTCTCTACGTTCTCCTCTCTCTCTCTTTCTCTCTCTATCTATCTCTTTTACTAATGTAAATATGTACATATATATGTTATTTCTCTGTCCGCCTGTCTCTCTCTCTCTCTCTCTTTCTATCTCTATGAAATAATGTAACGTTGTACGTCACGCCAGTCCCCTTTTTCTGTGATTTGAACAAGTCGGGGGGGCAAAGCGCACGAATTCCCTGAACACAAAGTGGGCCTCCACGAGCCGACAAGGGCCCATAAATTTTAATAAATAAACCCGTCCACCTCGCCCAAAAGCCGCGCGGCCGGAGGAAGCACATCGATCCCAATTTAATTTAATTAATTCGATAACCACCCATTTAATGATTTATTAATATCCCAAAAAAGAAATAAACCCGCATATTCTGGGGTAGCTCTCGCGCTTTGCTGATGGAATTTATACCGCGGAGAAGGCCACCAGACCTCTGCTTTTTACCACTTTTGGGTGGTTTCACCTCCGGACAGCCGACGCCCGGGCCGCCTGGACCTGACACTTTTGGAAGGCTATAGACGGCCGTCGGGGCAGACTTTCAGACAACGTGGACTCCTGCAGTCCACAGTTAGCCTGGGGGCCACCGAATATGCCCACGCGGAGATCAGGACCATACTCCTGGTGCCCGCGACACGGGGATCTCTTCATCGGAATAATTGGGCCAGTTGGGGGCCGCTGGGCCCATTAAGCGGTGGAACGGAAAGGCGGTGAGAAAGGAACCTTCGGCCCACGAAGGGGCCGCGGTCTCGGCCGTCGGTTCGAGCCGCCGCCCCCACTCTTTCGCACGTGCGCGTGGACGGGCCACGTCTAGTCAGCCGGCTCCTGCCGGTCCAAGCCACCGAAAATGGTAAAAGTACGCACTTACCTTAGGGATGAACTATGATCAAGGTTTTTTTTTCACCCGATTTTCGGGAGAGAAAATAAAATAAGTGTATTTTCAAATTTACCCTTACCCGATTATTATTTTTACTTTAAAGGCCCAAAAGTAAAATATTATACAATCATCCCCCGAATGTTATGTCTACGTCCTTATCTCTTTATGAACTTTAACTTTAACATTTATTAAAAATTTATAAAAAAGAATTTACTATAATTATTTGGGAATTATTCTACCACCAGTTTGGCTTTGAAGATAATTTTCCAAATGTCACGTAGTTATCTAGATTATTTAATATAAGTGGGTTTCCTTAAATATTCGATATTATTTAAATTGTTACAATTTTTTTACCATAAAGAAAGTGTGCATTATTCATCTGTCCTCTCGGTGGTAGTTGCAAATGTGTGACGGCCACTGCTGTAGTTGTTAGCTTCCACCAAAAGAAGAATCACTGTTGGGTTCGATCAAAATATTAGTAGTGCGGTGCTTAGTCAACCAAAATTGACTTAATGACATTGCTTTTTTAAAAGTCAATGAGTGGTAGTTTAAGAGAGGAGAGAGAGAGTGAGAGATGGAGACCATTCAAAGTATAAAGTATGACACTTTAACTATGCTTAATGAGAATGAAAAACAGTTCTACTGAATATAGGATGACCTGAGTACCAATATTAGAAAAGTCAGCCTCTGAGTGCGTCAACCGTGTGCCAGGATCCACTACTGTGGGAGCCAAGCACATTTATGACACTTGGCGCGATCATGACGGTGAACTGATTTCCAGATATCGAAAACTAGTCAGTCACCTATGGAGATATTTTTAGCCTAGTATTTATCTGGCCACTCCGGAGAAAAATGCCCAAAAACTCGAAGACTCGGAGAGAGTGGGAAGGAGGGGGAGGGGAAAGGAACAGTTCCTCTTGGGGTCAACGTCTAGTCAAGATAAGCCCACAGGCGGGCGGCGAAAAGGACTTGGCCAAGATAAGACGGCAGTCTGATGGGAGGAGACCCACAGAAATGCCGCCGGCTTGACGAACCATGTGGCCACCTCAGGAGCCGACGACGAACGTGTGGACACAGACGGAAGACGGCGCCGGCCCAGTTGACCGCCTTAGTGGGCCAAAAGTTTTTTTAAAAGTGATGATAGGCCCAGTTGGGTACGAAGACCTGTCGGCCCACGTTCATATATGAAACGGGCCTGGAAATGTTACAAAACTAGCCCATTAACAGGGAGAATGCGATTAGCCCAGTAAAATTCGAATCTCCCCATGGCCGTTGAACTGGAAAGTGAGAAACTGTTCGCTTGGATGGGGATCTGATCGGAGCCAGGGCCAAGTTTCTTGAGAGATCAGAAGAAGGATTTGATGCAAAGAGAAGGATCGCTGACAGGTTTGGATTAGGTCGAGGGAGGAGAAACGGATTCCTGTATAGGCGAGGGAGAAGAAAACAGAAGACGCATTGATGCAAAGAGCAGACGGATCGACGACAGGTTTAGATAAGGTTAAAGACGAGGGATAAGAAATCTTCATCGGCATTCAATTCCAGGAGAGATCTCGGCTGTGGAGATCTGGGAGAAACACGACGTTGATGATTTCTGCTGGAGACTCTTTGATCACGCAGTCTGCTCTCAGTCTTCGTAGACGCGGCACTCCTCCGCCTCGGGGTTATGCTGGCAGGAGTCCAGCGGATCTCGTTCGCTCCCGGTGAGAGGACGGCGGAGCTCCGCCTTGGCCCGGCTCACCTCCTCGACCTCGTCCCACGCCACCTCGCACTCATCTGACGCCCCGTCCCCTGAGCAGATCGCCTCCGCCTCTATCACCTTCTTCACGATCATCTCTCCCAGAAGTTTCTCCCTCATCCGCGTACCCTCGTACTGAACGCCGCCGCAGCCACAGATCCACGGCGGAGGAACGCCAACGTCGCCCGATCTCGCCGCCACGGCGGCGGGAAGCCGCAGTGGGAGGATAAAGAGAGCCAGTGGGGAGGACGATCAAGACGAGGATTTCCGCCTGCTGAGGGCAACCTACGGGCTAATCCAGAATGGAAAAGGACAACGCCAACATACCGGATTACCGACACGTGTACAACCCATGAGCCCGACGACGGGAGACTTTATGGGCCGGGGGGTATCATTCCGGACCAATGTCACATGCCCCGAGCCCGGCCCGTGGACGCCGCCAGAAAAAAAGGGACCTCAAGCTCATAAGAAAGAACTTACAGTCATGCAGCAAATCAAAGCTTCAACAGGGAGTTTTTTCGAAAAATGACAACGAGGGAGAAACCACCCGCCGGAGACGGCACCGGCGCCGGCAGCGGCATGGATAATCGCCCGACGATTCCTACTCTGCTTCGTCCGCCGACGCGTCGGTCAACGGCCGGGCTGACCCGAGGTCGAGCTCTTCGTCGGAGTCAATCACCTCCTCGAAGTTGTAGTAAGCGCCAACCTGAAGGGAGGACAGGAGTCAACGTCTCCATCACTCAGCAAAATCCTCTACTTAAAGAAGAGAGAGAAAACGCCTAGATTAGGTGGAGGAGCGAGCACCCTGGGCCTGGGCCTCACGGCTTCGAAGCTGTGGAAGACTGGGGAGGCGTAATCAGGGGGATGAAGAACAATGTAGGCGCCCCGATTGTTATGCCTCTCCTCTGAAGCCTGCCGGAGGAGTTATTATTCTCAATGAACAATTTAAAATAAATAAATAATAATAATAATAATAATAATAATAATAATAATAATGCATTGAATGCTAGAGAATAAGAGAGATAGCCGTGTTTTCTATAAAAACATATAAACTATTAAGTTATATCTATATACTAGATAATTATGAGATACACAGGAAAAATACGAGCTTCGTTAAATCAGGAATATCTCAAGCTCATAATGATGCCAATGATAGAAAGAACTCAGTAATTGATTGGAGAAATAGATTGAGCTCAGGAGAGAGAGAGAGAGGGGCAACCTGAAATTGAGGGTAATCCGGGGCGCTGAAAACGGTGACTGATTTTCCCGAGTCTACTTCGTGATCGATCGTGTACCCATGATCCATTCCTGAGAGATCATGACGCTTGTCTCTTGCATCTGGGCCCTCGTGTGATCTGATGATCAGCTGCACCTCGAAATGAAGAACAGCAGCTTTAAGAACCCAGTTGACTTTATCCGAGTTTATCAGAGTCTAATGCATCTGAATCCTTTTTTTTTGTTCTTTTTTTCTGCTGATTCCTTCTGTTTTGGATAAAGTCAACTGGGTTTTGACTAAAAATAGTAGAAACCCGAAAAAGGAAAAGAATGTGTGAGCACAATTTGACCATCATGAAAACGGCAGCGATAATTATCCTCATTAAGAAGGGCGGCTCAACAAGGATCAGAACAGTTACCTTCAGGTTGTTCTTCTTTAGGAAGTCTTCGGTGACGTCAGGCCCCCACAGCAGGCCGATCCCCCTCTCCCTGTTCGGAGAAATTCCATGAATCAAGGAAGGATCGGACCACAGAACGTCGCCCGGGATGAGGTTTGAGCCCTCCCATGGCGGATCGAGAACAGTCCTCCTCGCCTTCAGCAGCTCATCAAAGGAACCCAACACGAGAGGCTTCTTGTCGGCGCCGGAGGCCGCCGCCTTCTTCCGGCCGCCCTTCTTCCCCTTGGCCCTCTTCAGGGGCGGCGCCGCGGCCTCGCTGCGGAAGATCCCGCCGTGAGCGGTGTACACAGAGCCGGCAATGACGGTGGCGAGGGGCAGCCCCTCGAAGCACCGCAAGCACCTGCGATAAACCTGCGGGCCCCTGTCGCCATACTTGGCCATGACCTCTTGCTCAAATCCATAAACTGCAGTGCAGTATTTAGATTCATGATTTCCACGAAGGAGAAACACACGGTGAGGTATAAAGATCTACAAGAAGATGATAATACGATGCTATAAATAGATCACTCATGGCAGAAAATAAAATAAAATGAAGACCCATCATATGGAAGCTGTAATTACTTGAGAAATGGTGGATGGATGGAGAGGGGGGTCACCTTCCAAGCCAGGAGCAGGAGGAAGGTTTCCAGCCCCCAAGCACCTCTATCGACATAATCGCCGTTAAAGACGAAGAACCGGCTCTCCGAGGGGAATCCGGCGTCTTCCAGGAGGAAGATCACGTCGTGGAGCTGCCCATGGACGTCGCCGACGACGACGACGGTGGCGCTCGGGTCGCCGCAGTCCTGCACATCGATCCGCAGGCAGTTGGGCTCCTTGTGGAGGATGTTGGAAGCAGATAGCAGGAGGCGCTGGAGAACGGGGATGGGGAGGACGGAGGGGAGATCGGAGGGGGGAAGATTCCGGGAAGACCAGTCGAGAGTGGCGGTCATGGCGCGGATCCATTCGAGGGTGAGATCCCCGTCTTGGGGCCATTCGAGGGGGATCGGAGGAGGAGAGGTGCCGGCCCCGTCTGGTATGGAGCTCTCCATGGCGGAGATTGAGGGAAATTAGGGATCGGCGAGAGGCCGGGCCCTCGTTTGTTCGACTGGAAAGGCCCCTGCTTTACGGGACTAACAAAAATGGGTTGGGTGCCCGCCCAGGGAAGATTTTTTTTCCCATCTTGGGCATGAATATTGAGTAAAAAAAAAGAAAAAAATAGGTTTTTTATGGCCCTTGAAAGTAATTGGGACGGGGCAAAACCTCGACAAAATCCAGCATTAAACCCGTTAAACGTACACACTTTTGTTTTTGATATGAAAGGGGTCTAATAATATCATGAGTAGATTCAAAGACGTTTTATTGTACTCCATTATTAATAAATAATTGGAAATTAGTAGCTAGATCACGAGATAAATCATACTCAAGTGGTACATTTTTCAACGAAAATAGGATTATACGGCACCACTTCTCTAATGAATTAGCTTAGGTTGGTGTGGCATCGTTCCCCTCATCAAGACATTGCCCTATTAAAATCATGAAGGGTAACATAAACTAAACGCATAAATTCGTGGAAGGCACATTACCCTATGTTATCATGGCCTAATTATCTTTTCTTTTTAATTATTTATAAATTTAGCTTTTCATCCATCATGGCCTAATTACCCATCATTATTATATTACGTCCAGCTCATCAATCAATGTGCCCTATAATCATTAGAGCCCATTATAAAATCATTCAACCCAAACCCTTTTTAGCTTGATAGTCCATATTACTATAAGAGGTGGTGTTAGGCACTCAATTTTCTTATACGTTATTTCCAGTATTGTTGAGTATGTGGTTATCAGGAGAATGCCGCCGTTTAACATGACAAGGAAAGAGATAAAGATTTGGCAGAAATGTATATAAATTTGTTGCCGACGAGGGTACATCAGATTGCTTAAAAAATGGCATCATTGTTATTTATTTAAGTTCTTAGCTCAATTATGTGCTAGATGCTCACTAGAAAACAACTAGAATCCTCATAATGCATGGTTCATAGCGACGACCTTATACCCGAAGGGGCAATAGAAAAAAAGAAAGGGAACAAAAGCTGCTCACTGTTTCTTTTTTAATATGATATGCTTCATTCCCAATGGTAATATAGATTGTAAAAGATGAAGCTTTGTAAATAAAACAGTTTTTGAGCATGCAAGACCTCCAGAAACGCGGTAGTTTCGACAAAAGTCAACCGGTGGACGGGCGCTGAAAGTCAAGAACGAGAAATGTTGCTTTAAATGAAAATAAATCCGACGAACGAGCCTTCTGGCTTCACAGGAGGACCTCCTGGGAGCTTGTAATTCGTGGGAGACGGAGAGAGACGGTGAGCTTGTTTCCTCCCACTAGTAGTTTCCATGCCGCCGGGAAATAATCCTGCCAAGAAGAAGAAGAAGAAGAAGAAGAAGAAGAAGAGAAGAATAGGGGACCCAAAAGAAGGGCCCTCCCTCTCGGGGCGGCGCCGCCGGAGAGCCGCCTGCCGCTGTCGCTGGGCGGCGGGGAATGGGACACCCAAAAGACGTGGCATGCAGACCGTGTAGGAGCCCTGGGAGCGGCAAGTTTCACCACCGCCCGCCGGGCCCCCCTCTTCCCTGGCCATGCGTTCGACCAAAGTCCTCGGAAGCCTTTCATCTTCCTCTTCCTCTTCCTCTTCCTCCTTTTCTGGACTCTGAGGGGGGTCAGCGTCTGGGGGCCACCTCATGTGGGAGAATTCCCTGCCAGGTGACGCCGGAGGGCCAGCCTTTCATGGCCGCTAAATCCCCCGAGCTCTCGGCTAAACGAGTGGGGACGTCCGCTGCCCGACTGTCGGCTCTCTCTCTCTCTAGTAAGATCAGGAACGGGATCCAAAAAAAAAAAACCATGCCGGGCCATGCTCCAATACTCATTCGGCGTATAGAGTCAGAGATATAGATAGAGATAGAGATAGAGATCGATAGAGAGGGATCGGACCCAGATGGCTCGACGATCCCGTTGATGCCTATTTTAAGTCGTGTTTTTGAAAAGCCATGTTGTTTAGTCGCTACATGCAGTGATGATTGCGGAATGGTAAATTACAGTCCCGTTAATGGCGCCGTCCTCCCCGGCCTCGGCGATATATATATAATGGCAGGTGAGGCTCGAGAGAGTTATCGGTAGTCCACCCTGAAGCTGAGGGAGATGACGGGTCACATGGGCTGCACGCCGTTGGGGCGGCGGTGGCGGCGGCGGGTGAGGGGGTTCCGGCTGAGCTCTGGCAAGTTCTCGGTGCTCCGCCTGCGGCTGAAGCTGGCCAGATTTTTGGGACTCTTTGGGCGTTGTCTGTTGTTGCTGAGGAGGGGAGTCGGCGGCAGCGGCGGCCACCGTAGGTGGGCGGCGGTGAACGGGCGGCGCGGCGGAGGAGGAAGGCAGCCGGAGTGTGGGGTGAGCTTCTCCGGCCGGTCCAACTCGTTCTATGCCGACGCCATTGCCGAGTGCTTGGAGTTCATCAAGAGGACTTCCGTCTCCGTGGACACCGCCTCCCCCGTCAACTGAAGAGAGAGAGAGAGAGATGGGGGGAGAGGGAGAGAGGAATGACTCATCAGTTTTTTTGCTGGGTTTTCAGTGATGGGTTGCCTTCCGCCGAGGCCTGGTTCTCGTCTGAACGCCGCTAGGGCGGTTTTTAGCTGAGAGATCTGTCTCTCAGTTCTTCAGATCTTCCTCTTCATCTTCATCGTCCTCTTCCTCTTCCTCTTCTCTGTGTACTCCTCACCATCTATTTGGATGTGAATATCTTCGATTAAGTGGTCACCCGCGAGAGCTTCCATCTTTTCTTCGCCGGCGGAATGCGAAGGAAAATCACTGCCGAATCCGAGCGGCGTCCTCGTCAGATTTTCTCAGGAAGCAAGATAATGTACAAATTATATGTTTACAACTTACACATCAAAGAGGTCGTTTCAATCAAATATGGTCACCACAGGCCCGACAGGCCCGGACCCGGCCCTGGAAAAGCCCGACACTGTGGTCAACGAGGCTTCCGAAAGGGAGACCATTAATGGACCCCCCTGCGTTCCATACAATCGACGAACCCCATTGGTCCTCGTGGGGAATCATGATCTGGCGTCTTAATGTTGGCCATCTGATCTTGCTTTGATTCCCGGGGCTGTCTGAAATCTTCGGTGACCTCAGACGTACGCACGCCGGCAGGGGAAAAAGCTGGTAACTTTATAGGTAATCGGCGGAAAGGGGTCTCACAAGCGGTGTGATGTGCGTTGGGTTTCGTATACCCACGGGAAACCGGGCCATTTTTACGACAGAGAGAGAGAGAGAGAGAGAGAGAGAGAGAGAGAGAGAGAGAGAGAGAGAGAGAGAGAGAGAGAGTGATGAAGAGTGAGGAAGAGAGAGAGAGCGTCACCATTGTCAACTGTTGTGGAAGTAGGTTTCTCAGAAAGACGGTGATCCTTGAAGAAAGGCTCCCTCTCAAACTTAGGAGCGAGAAAACTCGACGCAGCTGCCAACCAGCCTAGCGATGAGAACCTTTCTCAGCGCGCTCTTCTAGCACAGGCAAGGTCGCGGGCATCAACAGCCGACCGACCGCTTCCCCCGTCGTCGCCAGCTGCAAGCCTCCTCTCTACACAGTGGCCGAACGGGGGATAGTAAACGCGCGCAAGGCGGAGAGGAGAACGGGTGTGGGCTTTATAGTCTGACAAGCAGTTTAACGTTAACGTTGTTCCCAGCTCAATCATATCGATTGGCGCGCATGCTCACCAGGTGTTTGAGTTTATGACACTACTAGAACAAAACGCAATGCATTAATATTTTATTAAAGGGAATTTGGGGAGCTGAAATCGTGAGACGTGCCGCTGAGTCGTTGCCCGTCGATCCTACGCTGAAGGAGGCGGCGGCGGCGCGTGGTAGACCAAAGGCTTCGCTCTGCTCGCGGCAGGGGCGGGTGGCGATGGCTTTGGCTTGCTTCCCAAAGACCTTCTCATCTTCTCGCCACCTGAAGAGACTTCGAACAACGCATAGAGACGTTGTTTGAGGGCGGACAGAGGTTTCGCCCACAGACGAGGAACCTCATCAGGGAGCCTCTGATGCCGCTGCGTTTCTTCTGGTCGATCGAGAGATAAAATTCGTCGATGATATCCTCAGCTTTGAAGGCCGCTTCTCTCAGCTGCTGAACCAGTTCGTTAACCATAGGTGTAACTTGACCTCTGTTCCTGCAAAATCTGCGAGGGATGCGTTTATGAACCTGAGCTCGCTCTGCAGGGATTCGAATTGTGGCTTGACTTGGGCCAGCAGGTTGATTTCCTGCGAGAGCAGCTCGTCCAGTTTCTTCAGAATCAAACTGAGTGGATTAGCCATTGCCTGCAAACTGATTGAGCTCCGGAGCGAAGAGAGTGAGAGTGGGAGAGAGAGAGAGAGAGAGATGGGACGAAAGGACCGTACTAGATGTAAAACTCTGCTAACAGAGGAGTACACGAGCTGAGAAGGGAGAGACAGGGGGAAAGAAGAGAGAACAGACAAGACGCCGGAGAGGATAACTCGATGGAACCACAGAGGTAACTTCTGGGGGAGCCGATCCGGAGATACAGGACTCAGAATAATTCTTCCTCCTTCCCTGGGTGGCGAGGGGGTATTCTTATAGCCGCAAGGTCTTCATCCTGCGCCCTTGCGGCCCCAGAGGTCAGTTCTCTCTCAAGAAATTCTACAAACAAATGGTGGATGATCCTTCTTGTTCCAAAGGGCTCCCAGAGAGAGACGTAAACGGTGCAGGAGCCTAAAAGGGCTTACCTTGGGACCTTGCCGCCCCAGAGATCACCAAGAGAGCGAGGAGGAGGAGGACGACGAAGCATAGCAGCGCCGGGGCGGCAGCTTTCGCCGGGAAGCGGCCCCTCTTCCTAATAGAGATTATAACTAATGATTGAACTAAAATTAAACCATTTATCATTTAAATAAAATAATAAAGAAGATAATATATGTATTTTCGCTAATTTCGGATGGAGTAAAATATTAAAATGATATTGAATAAAGAAGGTATACATATTGCCATTATTTACTCTTGGTTGAAATTATACCTTTTTTAAATATAAATTATTTCAGTTTTTTGTAAATGTGATGTTCACCACATGCATTGCTTGCAATTAATGTCAATTCTGATATTTTTGGGTTTATCTTCAATGGTAAAAATAGAATAATATATCTATAAAGAAGGAATACATAACTCATCATATATATAACCTTAATTGTAATGAAAGAAGTAGTAGTGTCAATGTTAGTTGAGCATTATATTATATAAGAGCGTTATTTGACTAATTTTGAAAAATTAATATCAACGAAACTTGTGTACAAGTAGAGGCTCTTTGTCTAAAAAAGAGCAATATGAATCAAGTAAAAAGGGATAAGCCAGTTGATATTTATTCTCAAAATAGTTATTGAAATTGACAAAAACTATCAATGATAGAAACACCATTTTGTGCTTTTTGATCATAATATTTATTGCATTAGTTGATAACTTATGCATAAAAGTTTCTCATAATTTTGACATTGATCAAAAGCATTTTAGATAACTTACACATACGTAAAAAAAATCTAAGAACATGAGTTCTAGTCGTAAGAAAATGAGGATACAAAAAGGAAAAGGAGCGGTATGTGACTGGCATATTATTCAAAGCCTTATATTTTAGTGTATTGTTAGACAATAGTCCAATATATCAAGTCTTAACATATAAAGAGCTATCTTGTAGAATAGAGAAGTGTATTAAAAGATGGGGCTTGATGTTATGCTATATGATAATTATGATGTGAACTTTTTATTTCATTTGAATAATAATATTGGAATAGATATATAATTTACATTAGGAAACTAATCAAACATAAGACCAATAATTGAACAATTTACTATATCAAGCACAACACATACACATGAAATCTAGACTGATATAAGTTAGTACATAAATTGAAAATATTACTTAACATATGAAACCACATATCTCAAGATGTGAAACCTTTAACATCCCAAGATGTTACCCTTACATGCCATTATGACATATATTTTGCATTATTAAGGGATAAGAGTAATTCATGTCCCCCCCCCCCCCCCCCCCCCCCTCTTGGTTCCTATACAGCCTAACTGGACCCAATAGGGGGTCGGGTGAATTATGTTTGATGAGTTAGTTAAAAAAACGTGGTCTGAGATTAATTATTTTATATGGATGTGGCTTTTAAATTTTAAGAGCTTAGAACAACCGTAGATTAACCATTCATATTTCTTTCAACCATTACGGCTAAATGTTCAATACATTCTGGGTTTTATGATATTCTTTCTTCTTTTTTCTCCTTTCACTTGGTTTATACATTTTTTTTTTCATGGGTTAAATCCCTTTTTTAAAAGTATACAAAAATAGTTGCGCAATCACATGTTATCTCAAATTATGGTGAGTTTTTTTTAGCAAACCTTGGTATACAATGTCAACATTATTAACAAGTTAATACCATGATGATACAAAATATCAATTTTTTCATTACATTCATTGTATCAATAGAAATCATTAATGATTGAAAAATCAACAGAGAGTAAAGGACATGACTATCATATTTTAAATATTTGTCCTCAAGAATTTGATTAGAAACTTAATTGACTGAAACACTAAGAGTTAATCATCATTTGGTTTCTCTCTCTATATTCACTCCCTCTACCATCGTCAAAGTTTTGCTACTTTATATTCAAGTAATTGTAAATTAGAACAAAGTTTCGATGAAGTGTACTTAGAAAGAAAATAAATAAAAGGTGCTTGTAGACTTTGATTTTTGATAATTTTTTTGTTACAGATTGGCCACTCGTGTCAAGATGACTTTACGAAAATGATGAGCAAAAGAGGAATGAAGCTTTTAGGGTTTTGGCTATTATTCAATAAAATTTATCATTGCGCTCTACATCATTGCTGAATAAATAGCATGACTGGGGGCCAGCGATCATTCGTTTCTTCCTCTTTGCCAGTGGCAACCGTCGGGCGGCGGCGGCGTAGGATAAAGCTGAGTCGACCGGCCTACCCGGGAGGCGGCGGTTTGATCAAGAAGAAAAAGTTGGAGGGGGTTTTGGATATCGGAGATAGAGGCCCATAATTATCTTTAAGCACTCGGACGCTCCCCTTCAACTCTGTCGGAAACTCCGCCAGCCCTCTAGCTAGAACCACCCCTTCAGCTCTGGGAGAGCTCGAACGCCAACGATCAACGACCGGAGGCATCCTGTAACGAGTTTCAGTTTCGACGGGGGTTAGCGGGGCACCTGAGACAACGCAGCACAAGCCGTCGAGTATAAGAATGGCAGCGACGAGTGTTGCGGCGAGGGAAACGGGCCGATGGTGTCTTCCAACGGGGAGGAGAAAGAAGGTAGCAGAGGAGCCCATGGTTCACGCGGTGCTTCCCCACGGAAGGCGATGGAGTTCGGCGAGTTTTTCCATCTTTATATTGACGAGTTCCTACTCAGTTGCCGCAACATTCTCGCCAAGACCATGAGGAGTTGATTTTTGAAGAATGGTAGATCTTGACTCTTC